TCCCCCAGCAGAACAAGGGAGTCCCCAGCAGGAGTACTCTCCAGCACACCCTCCAAGGACTCCAAAAAGGGTGGGTAGGCTGAGCTGCTGTTTGGTGCATATGCACAAACAACGGTCAGGACCCGTCCCCCCACCCGAAGGCGGAGGGAGGCAACCCTCTCGTCTACCGGTGTGAACCCCCATGTACAGGCACTGAGCCGGGGGGCAATAAGTATGCCCACACCTGCTCTGCGCCTCTCACCGTGAGCAACTCCAGAGTGGAAGAGAGTCCAACCCCTCTCGAGAGAACTGGTACCAGAACCCAGGCTATGTGTTGAGGCAAGTCCGACTATATCCAGTCGGAACTTCTCTACCTCGCACACCAGCTCGGGCTCCTTCCCTGCAAGAGAGGTGACATTCCACGTCCCTAGAGCTAGCTTCTGCAGCCGAGGATCAGACCGCCAGGGTCCCCGCCTTTGGCTGCTGCCCAGCTCACATTGCACCCGACCCCTTTGGCCCCTCCCATGGGTGGTGAGCCCGTGGGAAGGCTAATCTTTCTTGTGTTTGTTTATAGCCTGTAATGTGTGGTACCTGGGCTCGGTCGACATGGAGTCCCTGACGGGGGTGCAGGCGGTGCAGAAAGCCACCGGACTGACTCTGAGCTCCAACCCGCCTCCCACTTCCACAGTGGTCCACTTCAAGGTGTCCTCGCAGGGAATCACCCTCACTGACAACCAGAGGAAGTGAGTGGAACACACACACGCCATGCAATACAGTATAATAGTTTGCACATGCACTCAGACCTTGTCTGCTTTGTAGGCTTTTCTTCAGGAGGCACTACAATGCCAACACGGTCATCTTCTGTGCTTTGGATCCTCAAGATAGAAAGTGAGTGAGATTACTGGAAAAACAATGACCAAAAGCACCAAAGTCAAATGGTCCAAAAAATGGGACACTTGGGGAAAATCGGCATCAAAATTCAAACGAAATGTCGAGCTCGAGCCACGAGACGTGTGCACATCTCCAGATTTCTCCACAGTGTTTTGCTTCGTTCTTTGGCTTCATGGTGTACTTTTTAACCATTTTTTAAATTTTATGTGTGACGGCACTACAGAGCCGGTGACACAAAAAGGAAAAGTGGTGCTAACTACATAAATATAAATGGAACTTGAAAAGGCGCTGGAAATGTGGCACAGGAAAGAGTACTTAAATATTTGCAAACACCCAGTTTTCGAAAAAATTTTGCCAAACGGGCGCAGTAAATTTAATCAGAAAAGGTTCAGTTGAAGTCCAACAAACATGAAAAGCTTACTGCGCTGAACAAATCTGATGCGATTTGCTGCCATCTTATAACTGTTTGAACTTCATTTTGTTTGACTTTTGAGGCATGTTTTCTCTTTTTTTTATTATTAAATTGAACTACCAAGAAACAAAGAAAAAGCCAGATAGACCTTGTTAATCTTTTAGACCAGGGGTGTCAAACATACGGCCCGCGGGCCGGATCCGGCCCGCAAAGGAGTTTAATCCGGCCCGCGAGATGATTATGTAAAGCAGGGGTGTCAAACATACGGCCCGCGGCCCGGAACCGGCCCGCAAGTAGGTTCAATCAGGCCCGCAGGATAATGTAAAAGTGAAAAAAAATGCATTAAAGACACAGAATTAATATTTTTAATCAGGTGCAATTCATTGAGTATCCGCAAGGGGACACTGTTTTGATCAGAGAAGAAGACAACAGCAGCCTCAGTCTGTCACTGAGACAGACCCATGACAGCAGACGCTATCAATAGCACTCTCACATTTACACATTTAATAGCACTCTCCTTAGTTTGTAAGGTGTAGGCAGGGATTACATTTAGATTTTATATGCACGTGTAAATGCTTTAAAACTTGCTTTCTTTATGAATCTTGTTTAATCTTAAAGTGCATTACTATATTTTTCAATACCAATTACTTGTTAAAGTTTGTACAATCAGTGGGATCAGTTGCAATGCATATATGTGAATGATAAAAGTAAATTGCACATTTGTCGAAGGAAATGTAAGGTGCTTCATGAAAT